GCCAAACACACATCTCAAGGCTTGTTTTTGTCACAGGCCAAATATATCTCTGATCTCTTGCATAGATTTCATCTTCATACAGTTAAACCTGTACATACCCCTCTTCCTTCACATACTACTCTCGCTCTCACAGATTTCATCAAAAATATTGTGTTTCAGAGAAAGATGATTGACAAGACTAATAAGCTGAATATTAAAGATTGAATTCCTCAAATAGGAGTAAAACATAGGCTAAATGCAAAATAGGAGTACAATGTTTTGAATAGGAATAATTTTAGTGTTTGGACAAATATACCCCTGCCCAAGCCCCCAAGCCCCAACCACTTTCATTAATAATTAAAACAAACAAAAAAGTTGTAATTAATTTATAATAAAATGTAAAAAAATAAAAAATGAAAATATATATTAAATAAAATATAATCCATATTAAATAAAATTAATAAAATAAAAACTATTAAAAATTACTAAATAAAACTTAAAAAATTAAAAAATAAATAAATAATGAAAAAAAGTATGCAGCCTCTGTCGCCGCCTCAACAACCTCCCAGCACCAACTGCTCCGACCACCGAAAAAATGCCAATATTTGTCATAAATGTAATCTTGATGGCAGTTTTCGAGAAAATTTGGCATTTTCAAAAAGTAAAATGTCATCTTTATTCATTATTTATGATAAAATGTCATTATTTAAAATGTCGCATATTCAAAGAAAAATGACAATTTTTACATAAAGTGATTTTTTTCTGATCGGAGGTGACATTTCCGGGTGGTGACCGATTCTGCAAGAAATGCCTCCATAACTTTTATATTTTTTAATGTGTTTTATCTATTTTTATTTATTTTTAAAGTTGTTTTTTGAAAATTTTAGTTTTCTTTCAATTTTAATTATTTTAATATTTTTTAAACATATTTAGATTTTTTTTATTGTAATAAGATCGAATGACTGAATAAGTCCTATTTTAGAATTAATTAGTTTAGGGGTTTTAAGGGTACAAAATTAATTTTACTTGTAACACCGTCCCCAGGTGTATTTACTTTTAAGTGAATATTGTAATTAACCTTATTGAATGGTTAACGAGTTTACGATGTTATGAATTTTTATTAATTCTTTTGCGGGCATAGTAAATTCGCACGTGGGGCCCACACCGGGAGCGGGGACCGCCCGATATTCCCGGGACCATATATTTTATTCATCTTGGTCTAGATGATACTTATATGGTGGTGGATATCTCGTTTGAGCAATGGAAAGGCCCAGAGTTGACCGATTGGTCAAAAGAGGCCCAAATACCGGTATTGGTAATTTAACCGATAAAAGCCTCAAATTGGGTTTCGGAGACCTATAAATTAAAGTTGGGAAATGTATATTCATTATAAAGGGTATAACGATTAAGAACACATAATATATTTTATTTGACCCGATAAAATAAAATATATTTAAAACAGTCCAAAAAAATACAACTTTCGGGACCGATTGTACACTTCGGGACAAAAGGGGTTGACCTCCCACATAAGTGGGGGCCAACCCACGAATTTGACACATGAATGTGGAGGTGGGGCGGCTGGATTAGAAGGAGGAAGGAGGGGAGTGTTGGAGTTGAAATGATGAGCATCAAAGTAACATGAGGTGGACCTCCCATCCACACTCATTTGATCAAAGAGACAAAAATAATCCTCACCCACTCTCTCCCTCATCCCTGCGGCCAACACCCCCAACCAAGAGCCAAGAAAATTCTCCATCTTCCATCTCCATTGTTGAAGAAAGCTCAACAAGGAAGGATCCCAAGAAAAGGAATTTAAGTGCTAAAAGTGTGAAGGTTAAGGTAATAACCTTATCATAACTTTTCCTATATGTTTTCCTTCAATCTTAGGAGATATATATCATATGGAGAATCCTTTGGATTGTTCTACATGAAAAGAGTGTAGAATGATGGGTTGGAAAGTGGTTCTAAGTCCAAGAACGGATTTAGAAGTCAAACAACCGGTTCACCGGAAAGTAACCTTTTAGGGGTTATTTGTATTGATTAAGGTTTTATGATGTTAAAACCTTGTTAGAAACTTGATTAAAGTATTTTTGAGCTTCGCCGGAGTTTCGCCGGAGTTGGTCAAAGTTCACCGGAGTTAGTCAAAGTTCGCCGGAATTAGTCAAAGTTCAACCGCGGAGCGTAGAACACGCTTAAGCTCACTTAAGGTGAGGATGACCGACTATATTGCTTATAATCTTTGGGTTAATTTCATAAGATTTTCCTAAATGAATATACAATGTGATTTGCATGGATTATTAATGGTTAATAATGCCTAAATGAAATTACTATTGATTATAAGTATAGTTTGCATAATATACAAATTTATTGTATAAATTGTGTATGTTTATATGTTAAGAATATGATGGCATGATAGTAGTATCAACCATAAATTTCATTTGTGATAAGTATGCTTTTAATTCATGAGAAGAAGCCATGAAAGAATAAAAGTGATATTTTGATATTAAGGTCAAACTACATATTGAATGAAGAATTACATTGAAATAAGTAAACAACTAGTATTGAAATATTAGTTAGAATTGTAGTTGAACAATGGATGAATGGGTCCTAAGAAATTGAATTGTAAAGAATCGGTGATTATTGAGCTGGGCTCTAGACCGATGTAGATAACGGTGATTATTGAGCTGGGCTCTAGACCGTAGTAGTTATCGGTGATTATTGAGCTGGGCTCTAGACCGATGTAGATAACGGTGATTATTGAGCTGGGCTCTAGACCGTAGTAGTTATCGGTGATTATTGAGCTGGGCTCTAGACCGATGTAGATGACGGTGATTATTGAGCTGGGCTCTAGACCGTAGTAGGTAACGGTGATTATTGAGTTGGGCTCTAGACCGTGGTAAGTAAATGATGAATTTACACTAAATGAATAAAGTTAACCATGATACAATAACACCCTAGATTGAGGGTCTTGGAAATTGAAACTTTGATTATACTTAGTATAGTTGTCATTGTACTTGTCGAATGCTTCCAAGTACTGACCTCCCCTTCACGGGGGAGGCCACCTCACAGTTTCAGGTAGAACTTGAAGGTTGCTGCCATCGCCGCTTGTTTCGGGAAGATCAAGGAGAGAAGACGTGGTTCGTGCTTCCTCCGTTCCTGTTTTAAAAACATTTAAATTGATGCTCATGGATATTATATTTTTGAATAATTATTTGGGGGCTTGTATGCCCATGTTTGCCAAGTGTGGCATGAACACTTGTATCAAATGTTTCCGCTGCTTGAATGAATGTTTTACATTATGTTTGTTTATGGATGTATATGTGTGAATGATATTCAAGACGCCTTGTATAATATGAATGAGTTGGACTGCGGTTGACTATTCGTATTGTACGGCGGGTTGTTGACGTGTCCGGATAGGCCCGGGGCGTGACATTACTCCTATTGAAGGAAGTTTTAAGTTTTACTCCTATTTGTGCAATTATTTTTATGTTTTCTCCTATATTGAGCAATAACTAAATGTTAAATTACCAAACGAGCTTTAAATTAAATATTTTCAATATAATATTTCTTTATCTCTAGTTAAGAATAATGATGTATTATCATACACACTACTATATAAACAATCCGAAATTCCAAATGAATCAAATTTAGACTAATAATTAACGAAATAATTCCACTTTTGGTCCTGTGAGTTTTATGTCATTTCCACATTTTGTCCACGTCTTTCACTTTGCCCACTTTTGGTGCTTGACTAATGTTTCTTGATCATTTGTTGTCCTTTTCCGGCGATTTTGACCATCGGAATAGTTGTCGGAAGGACCATATGTGGTCGAAAACACAATAGTCATGTACCATAAGTGGTCAAAGTCAAAGACGTGAATCAATTGTGGAATTGGTGAGTCACCCGCTAATATAACGGTGGGATCAATTAACGGAGTAGAAGAGTTTTTAGGAAAGCTAAAAATGTTGTACAATGCTTTAATAAAATAGTATAAGTGATTGATGCATATAAGAAATGGACATAATCCAAGTATATTAACCATCATTCACAAATTATAAGGTTTTTAGATTACTTTGTAATTTCCTAAATTTGATTTATTATAAATATAAGGTCAAGGCACCCAATAGGGTAAGCCATTATTTTCCAAAATTATTGTTTTGTATACAGAGTAGTGCTTGTTCTTTGTTTGAAAGCCGGGTTTGGATGCTATTTCATCCTAGTTGTATTGTTAAGATTTTGAACTTTTTTATGTAACCGACTTACATATATTAAACACCGAGAAATAGCTAGCATACCTATATCCTCAAACTAATCACAAGCCCTAACATTAACAAAAGAAGTAATCACCCATAAAAGATCAAATTGACTCGCTAATATCGGAAATAATAACCTTAGAACAGAATTCACGCACTTGGTTTTTAGTTCAAAGCCAAGGGATGATCTATGTACAGGCTATGCAAGACCGAAGTTCAGAGCAACTTAGAAAATTTTTAAAATTGTTTCATTTTTCACATTTAACTCACCCCACTAATATTTGAGTCTAGTATAATTCATATTCAGCCCGGGACATCTCGGATTTATGGATCTGCCCATGTTCAAAGCATTCCATAATTTAATCGGAATGAGAAACGCTATAAGGATGGTCATGTTCTAACAAATCTATAGGTGACGATGTTAGAGAATTATAGTATAGATTTTGTTCATGTTTCAAAACTAACTTTTTTAGTATTGTCCAAACGACACAATACCATACCTAAAGTCGTCAAATGTACATCATCACTCATATCCGTCAATGATTAATGGTATCGGTTTCGGATAAAATTCTTCAATTTGAACACTTGAACCAATCAGATCGACCTGACCCGTATCCATCCCCGCTCCCTTTTAAAAATGTTATAGATCCTCAATTATATTACTTAATGGTCTCAAATTGCCACTAGTTCATACGTGCACGTACACTTTTGAACAAAATATACACCAAATATACTAAAGATACTTATACTATTTATTCTATTTCTCTCTCTGATTTATACCAACCCAATAATACAAATACCACTTTTTCCCTGGGACAGTGGGTTGCATAATGAAGATGTAACAAGTGCTTTCTATTCGTTCTTTTTGTGCCCTTTAATTTTTCCACTTTTGTATGACTGGGGAAATTCTCTCACAAGCTTGGAAGTTTTCTGAATTTGCTCAATAATACTACGTATAAGCCTATACTTTTTTCTTGATTGGCTCATCAAAAAACTCATGTGTACGTGTACCTGTTGCATGCCCTTGATGAAGTCTTTCAAGGAGTCCACTGGCCCTATAAATATGTGGCAACCCCTCACTTCTTTCTCTTAAATATAATCATCATCATCATCATCATCATCAGTACAAAATTAAGGGAAAAAGCAGAGCAAGCAGGAGAAGAAAAATGGAGGGGAAATGGAGTTTTAGGGCTAATTTCTGGGAGAATGTTAGGCCTTACATAGCCATGGTTTGTCTGCAATTTGGGTATGCTGGAATGACTATAATAACCAAAGTTTCACTGAATAAGGGCATGAGCCATTATGTCTTGGTTGTTTATAGACATGCCTTTGCCACTGCTGTCATTGCTCCCTTTGCTATTCTTCTTGAAAGGTTTTGATATATTATATCTATACCCCCTTCATATTCTTGCCATTTTCTTTTTGTAAGTTTAGTTAGTTTGACAGAAAAGTTCTGCTTATTGATTTATTGCAGGAAAGTGAGGCCAAAGATGACTTTCCCAATTTTCATGCAAATATTTGTATTGGGCCTTCTAGGGTGAGTGTTTTTTTCTTTTCTTTATTTATTTATTTAAGAACCATAATTACTAAATTTTAAAAAACCTTTATATTGTACTAGTATAACTTTTCATGTTAAACTCATTCTGCAGGCCAGTGATTGATCAAAACTTCTTCTATGCTGGACTGAAATATACATCCCCAACTTTCGCGTGTGCCATGAGCAACATTCTACCCGCAATGACCTTTGTCATGGCGGTAATCTTCAAGTGCGTATAAATATTTCATCTCGTGTCCGACATATATATTACGAACAGAATTTCTCCGGGCAAAAATATGACTAATTATGTTTTCAGACAAAAATATGACTAGTCATTGTGTACGAGTAACTGAACAAGAGTCACTATAGTGTATTTTAAAGTAACAAGTTACTGGAAGATGATGAATCACTATGAACTAGTCGCTGAATATGTCGTTTTTTGAAACTTTTTAAAATAAGTCATATTTTGTCTTTTGAAATTAATGTACTAATCAAGGTTTTAAATAGCCGTAGCGGCAGTGGTAGCGGTCATCGCGGTAGCGGCCTGTAACGGCATGTAGCCGACTGTAGCGGTTGCAGCGGCGTGAAATATTTTCAATTGCGCAAAACATAAATGTATTTTTTTCACATCATTCACACAACATTTAATTTTGAGTTTCACTCCATGCATCACCATTATGTATTTTTTTCACATCATTCGCACAACATTTACAGATTTACACATCAAACAGTTCGTGATGTACTGCCGGAAATGTCAATAGCAGGCTGTAGCGGGCGGCGTAGCGGATTTTTCCCGTGATTTGGAAATCACACACGAATAGCGGACCGTAGCGGTAACGGCCCCTACCGCGACCGCTACATAGTGGCCGCTATAGCGGTAGCGGGCTGCTATTTCAAACCATGGTAGTAATATTCATGGAAAAAGGTCTATAAATATTTCTTAAAAGGATATAAAAGTAGTGTCTTTTAGGTCTCAGTTTAAGAGTCTTACACTATTCACTTAGTCAACTTAAATATAGGGAGTATAATGTTTTGCACCAATTTGACTTGATGTGGTGTGATGGGCCCAATGGGGGTGTGTAGGATGGAAAAGGTGAACATAAAGAAGGTGAGATGCCAAGCAAAGGTTGTGGGAACACTTGTGACAGTTGGAGGAGCCATGCTAATGACATTATACAAAGGCAGTGTGATTAACCTTTTCTGGTCCAACCACATACACTTACACAACCAAAATTCCTCAACTGCCCCTGCATCATATGATAAGGATTGGGTTAAGGGCTCAATTCTCCTTATCCTTGCTACTCTCGCTTGGGCTTCTTTCTTTGTCCTTCAGGTTACTAATACTTCTCTTTCACATCAATTTCTTAGGTTATGTTTGAATCTGGAAAATGCTAGGAAAAAACAGATAAGGACATCTATTTTATCTTCGGGTTCAACTCAAAAAATGTAAAAAAGAAAAGATGAAATATAATATGTTTGGACCAAAATTCTAGTATTATTAATTTTCCTTAATTAGGTTCCATCAGTGGTGGAGTCAGATATATCATGTTAGGGGGTCAGGATTGATGAATTTATTTTGAGGAACAAAACTTAAAATTTCAATTCTTTACTGCTTATAATTGTTTACCATGCACACCACAAACGGCCCCCTTATGCCCCTCTATATCTCCACTACTGGTTCCATTATATAGAGCCCAAAATAATGTCTCATTTTCTTTTTGAACAAAAAAATGTATGTTTCACAGCATTTCATTTTATTATAACAAAGCTTCAACAACATTTACTTTTTAACGACTTTATTAATAATTGTGTTAAATCAAAATAAGACACATAAAATCGAACGGTGGTAATAACATTTTCCAGGTTCCAAACAGCACCTATGAAGAAAAAACATCTCGAAGTCAGTTGACCATATTGTCCTTGCAGGCTTTTACGCTCAGGAAGTACAGTGCTCAGCTGTCTCTAACATCATTAGTATGTTTCATTGGAACACTGCAATCTATTGCAGTGACTTTTGTGGTGGAGCACAAAATCTCTGTTTGGAGCATTGGATGGGACGTAAATCTGCTTGCCGCTGCTTATGCTGTAAGTCTCATCTTACTTGCCCTCAGCCAAACACGGCACCGAAAATCAATAGGCAGATTAATCCATGGAAACTACTGATGAAGTGTCCTTTTATCTGGCTGGAAACATTATATTGCAGGGTATAATTTCTTCAGGAATTGCATACTATGTGCAAGGTGTGGTGATGCAGAAAAGAGGGCCTGTCTTTGTGACAGCATTCAATCCACTGATGATGGTCATTGTTGCAGTCATGGGATCCTTAATACTGGCTGAGAAAATCTATGTTGGAGGGTAAAGAAGTCATTTCACTCTCTATATTTATTTTTTCTTCTAAAACATCGGACTATATTTAGATAATACGTAGTAGTATGACATACTCGTTTTATACCCTTAAAACTTAGCCAAGTTTGATCAATATGAGAATTAATAAAATAAAAACTGTATAATTATGATTTGTGCAGAGAAGAGAAAATTAAATGAAACTACAAATTCTTCACTTAAAAGAGAAAATGACATAATTAGTGTGACAACTACAAAGGAAAGCTGACAAAATTTCAAGGGACGAGATTACTTCATATCAAAAACAGACTTTTACTATATATGGGTGGACTTGGCATTCAATATTACCTGGATTAGCGAATTGACAAAGAGACTAATTGATAACCCTATTTTCGGATTCAACTTTATCATATTTTTACCAAATACACATTTTTTCCTCATTTCACGTTACATTGGGGGTGTTTGGTTAACAGCCTATCAACCATATTTTGGCTGATTTGACCAGTATTCGGCTTTTTGAACAGATAAACAACTGATTGAAGTGTTTGGTTAGTTGGCTTTTTCACTTGGCTTGATATCCAAAACAGCCAAAATCCAAAAGGCTGATAAATAGTAAATACAGTGTTTAGCTACCGGTTGTTTGAATATGACGCCTATATTCCTATTCTGCCCAAGCCGTGTTCTCTTCTTCGTGCGTTACATTCTCCTCTTCCACTTGAAATAAAAAAGCAGAGCGTTGAATGGTGGATGATTACACACTAAGGTTGTCCCCACCTAAGTCAGACTTGAGAATATAAAGACAAAAGCATAAATAGATGATTATATATGTAATTTCCTCTCGTTAATGCATATAAATCATCATAATAAAATTTGGAGTGGAAACACTCCACAATTCTTGATGCAACGCGCCATAACAAATTGAGCAAAAGATGTTAAAATAACTATTACTTGTTTTCATTAATTTTAATTTTTTAGATCATAAATTAATTTTTAAGTAGTTGTACTAATAATATTAACAAAAAAAATAATTGATGTCCTTAAAAGTAATTTGAGGAGTTATCTGCTGACTGTAAACAGTTGTTTAACCAAACACTATTTTATAAACAGCTAACACTATCAGCTAATCAAACAGCCAACAGAATCCGTTATCACCAATCAGCCAACAGGACCAGCCAACCGCCAACAGCCAACAGCCAATTGCCAAACACCCCCATTATGTATTAATCAAAATAAGTAAAATTATACTCCCTTGGTCCTATAAAATTCTTCCAATTTTCCTTTTTAGGTCGTTCCAAAAAATTCTTCTCACTTACCATTTTTGGATAATTTGTGTAGTTCAAATTCATTTTAGATGTTTCTTACACAACTACAACCATACATTTTCACTTTACTCTCACTTCCTTAATATGCTAGCCAAGTCAATGTTGCAAGAATTTTATGGGAAGGAGGGAGAAATTACTTAATTCGTTGAATATGTTGAGGATGATTTTTTAGTTATTTTTTGTATAATCCAGAAGATTCAATATCAATTCATCCGTTTTAGTCATATTTGACTAATTTCAACAATTTCATTCAATTCAGACGCTTTTGGTGTTATCAAAAAGTGGCCGGAATCAGGGATGGATTTAGGGGGGGGCGACCGCCCCCTGGACATTCAATTTTTTTACCATATATGTAATATTTTCATAAAACTTTCATAATTTAATTAGATTCGCCCCCCTTAGCTTTTAATTTTCAAAATTAATATATATAGTCTTACATAATGTAATACTTAATTGGAGATTTAAATGAAGAAACATCTAAAATAATTTACATAACTTAAATAAATAAACAATAGAGTAACTCGTTATTTAAGATTTAGGATACTTATTATATAAGAATTCCTAGTTTTGTAATGTTTAATTATCTTTATTAGATAACAAGTACTGGATTTCGTAAAACTTATATCAAACAATATTAAATACCAGACACACTAATTACACAATTTTTAGATCACGTGAAATGAATCCAAAATATAAATATTTATAGACATTAGATTACATAATTCATTTATTTCTTGCTTTCTAAAAATAATTTATTGCATGGATAATAAACTCTAATATAGAATTGATACAAATATTAAAATATAATATGCACCATATATGTGTGTGTGTGGTGCATATTATTCTAAAAATTACAATCTCATACATACTAGTATACTATTATTGTAATATTAAGAAAACTTCTCATGAGTCATGACTCACGAACACCCTCCTTGGTGGACAAAAATTACAATTCAATAACCGATTCATGAGGTTAAACAATGTAGAAGTTATTAAAAATGTATTGGTTGATGTCTTTGTCATCGTCTAAACTTAGAATGTAATAGATTTAAATGTCGTTCGGGATGTGCATGTATTAATGTCATTTTTTGAATAAAAATAGCCGCATAGCCCTACAGTAGCGAAAAAATTTCGCCCCGCTATACTATGGAAAAAAATTTCATCCCGCTACACTAACAAAAAAAATTCACCTCCTACACTAACGAAAAATTTCGTCCCCCATGACTCAGAATCCTGGATCCGTCCCTGGCCGGAATTGATCGAGTGGTTAGCGAAAAGATTAAAATAAACTTTATTTGTGAAAAAGAAGAAAACAATAACTTGAGTGATTGGCCCTGTTTAGATAATAGCGTCTTAGCCAAAAGGGTAATCATTTTTAAACTTGAAAACGCTGCATTTTTCACGGTGTAGCCCCCAAAACGGTAGAAAACAAACAGGAGCATTATATTTTTGTATCGTCTACCAATTCAACACATGCCTTTAATTTGCATACTCGTGAATGTAACCAATTTGTTTTTCGATTATGTAATAAAGGTTTATGACAAGTATTAAATAAAGGGTTTAATACTTAAAAGGATTAATATATATGACGGATTAAAAGCATCAATCCGTCATAATATATTTATGATGGAATTAAAGGCATGTAACTATTATTTGCATACTTAAAAGGGTTTATGACGGAATTTTCTAGATTCAATTTCTTGACAAAAATCAAATTTCTATTGATCCCTTCTAACTTAATCCTGCATTTTCTAATTTTCTTCTCCTTCTCTCTTTATTCCAACCCGATTCACCAATTTTATCAAGAATAATTTATTGATCACGGATTGATTGTTTAAAGCCTTGAAAGAAGAAGTTTTTTAGGTCACAGACCGCCGTTTAGGCTCCTACTTGATTGTCTTAAATTCTTAACAAATCGTTGGGACATTTATCGCTTTGCAGCGTTCTTTACTCTTGTTGATATTGAAATTTGGAAACAACAAGTGAATTTGGATGCGCTATGCGAATTGGGAGTTTTGGACTCGGGAGGCCTAACATAACTTTGAAATTTTGAAATTTTGTAACCTAGAGATTCGAAGAGAATTAAGAGAGGCGTGCCACTTTACATTAATTTTAAAAAAATAAACCTTGAGCCAATTAATTGAGGTTAAAAATTAAAAAAAGAAGCCTACTCACCAACATACAAAGAAATATTTTTGGGCCTATTTCGGGCCCCTATTTTCTTGGACCTAGGGCGGTCGCCCCTGTTGTACCCCTAGGGCCACCCCTGATCAAACTTTGTCGTATTCGACTTGGTTTGTTTACATTTCCATACAAAAATGTAGTATAGTTTCTGAATACACACTCTCTAAGTCTTTATCTTAAATTCTTAATCAATTTTGTATGGGATCAAGGACCAAGGTAGTATATACTTCAATTATCAATATTAACTCAAGTATTATTACAACGTCACAACGAGGTTAACCTTATCATGTCAAACTTCATATACATTTGACTAGTTGGTACACAAATTTGTGATTGGGTAGTTTGAATTAGTACGCAAATTAAAGTTTTGATTGAAGAGACACAAAAGAGGCTACCAAATAGGCCACGAATATAAAGATCGATAAAGAGAACTTTAGTACGAAACTAAGCATTAATAAACAAAAAATAAAAATGTGTGTTTTGGTGTTAATACAGGGCTCTTGGAGCAGCATTGATTGTGATCGGATTATACGGTGTATTGTGGGGAAAATACAAAGAATGCAAGGAGAAGGAAACAGAACAAACTCAAGAAGCTGATAAGGGTATTAATGCAGGGAAAAATAATGATGCAAAAATGGTGGTGATCATTGAAGAAGGTGAAGAAAATGACATTGAAATGCAGAAGAAATCTCCTTCAGTAATAGCTATTTCTCCTAACAATTCACAACCCCCCATGATGGCTAGGGAAGCTCCAACGCCCTAACTTAATTTTTAGAAATAAACGAAAACAAATCGAGGAAGGCTTTTTATTTTATTTTAACTCGAGCGTTTTAGTTTTAAACTTCTTTTCTTCCTTTTGTAAAGTTGCTATGTGACATCTTCTACGAGAAAAGTTTTTTTTCCCATGGGTTTTAAATATTCCACAAAGTAATGTTATTGTGACATATTATGCTTACAATTTAGGTAGAATCTGTGGGTAATTAGAAAAAATGTTGCAATGTACCGATAGAAAGAGTTATTTCACATAATTAAACTCGTACACATATTACGTATAATAAGGTTTTAGTTAAAATTTGGATGGATCAGAGCGATGAATCGTGTCTAGCTACGCCATAATAGAACCATTATATGAAAGAATTTTAAAAGAATTACGGAGTCTTTTGTAAGATGTAAATTAAAATTTTGTGTTTGAACATTAGGGAAGCTAGGTAAAAAAGCTTGTATAATTGGATTTGATTATCTAAATGTTATGACACTATTTTAAAATATTTCACATTATACCATGTAAATGTTTTACCCTTTTACTTATGGGAGAGCGTTAGCACACATTATACGCTTAATATAAAGATCGAAATGCAATTGCTTTACGGGTAACTCAAATAAATTAGACATAAACACAAATTGCATTTACATTTTACATGTAAAATGAATCTTTTCCAAATTAACTTTGTATATAATAACGAGTTTGCTTGCAAAGTTTGAGTGTTCAAAATATAATGGTGAGTACTTTAAAATGTAAGAATGCCACAAGTTAGGTTCTACCGTTCTAGAAATATATTTTGATATACGAACTCTGTTCATTGGTGTAGACGAGTTCTTAAAAGGCAAACTCGACATGCCATATGCTACTTTTGAAGTGGGGAAGCAATATTTCATTGGGTATCGTTTAGATTAACCACAATCTTTCCCAAATTGGTTTTACAAGGGGAAGAAGCAAGAAGTCAAGAACCTCAATAATGGTCTTAGGATTAACCAACCAATGTTAAGGTGAATTTCAGTTGTACAATGGAGTGCAAATAATAACTCTTTAGGATCTCTTACACAACTAAACAAGCATATATGGATAAAGTTAGACTTGATTATTAAGATGACAAATGATATATACTACGTATTTTTTATTTCAATTATAACTGTAAAAATCATCCTTATATCCACTTGAATTGGCCCTAAACACGAGCTTTGTTAAGTAAAGCATGCGTTTCCAAGGTACATGAGTGAAAATTTAATGAAGCGGATGCATCATATTCATTCACCTCATATTAATAAAGTCCATAAGTCCATTGTTAAGAAATGTGTGCATTTGGTGCGCAAGGTACTCCTTATTAAGCATGTATGTATATAACTATAGGGGGTGTTTGAGTGAAAGTGTTGAATACTTTTAACGAATTAACATTTTCAGTATTCTTCTCTAATCAAATAAAACACAAGAAAATAAACAAGTAAGAAATATATTTATTTATTTGAAGAAAATCATATCTCGTTTGAGGAAGCCACGATTCCCGTTATGATGCCTTTATTAGTGATTGATGATTGATCAATAATGTTGATCGATTAATGTATACTACGTATATTAATATATATCTCGAAGAACTAGCTTGGTGTTATTTATATGCCTCTGGGAATATGGAAAAAGATACGTGAGTGAACCATCACATCCTTCCGTTCGTATATAAGAGAAGGGATATATACTAAATTACTAATAGTCATGTATGTCTTTCTATCTATTAATTACGGAGTAATATGCATCTAATGAGAAATCAATTATTTTTCCTTTAAATAATTACGATTACTTCAACCATGTAATGCATGTTTAGGTAAAGTGAAGTACCTATTATATCATATTGGCATAATTATCATTAAAATTTAAAATAGTACGTAGTAATAATTAGATGATTATTATAAATGGTTTAAGGCCACATATAAAATGGAAATTATTCCAAAAAGTACAAAAGTTCTTCTAAATGGTCCAAGTTTCTCTTAAAGGCAGTTTTTAAGAAGCCGTAGGAGACTAGTTAGTGTCTGAAAAATTGATTCTGGTTTCGTTACAAACAGCCCATAGTCATGTATGATGGCTAGGTCAAGCGGCGATCCTTGGACAAAACATAAGTTGTACTAAGTCATGTGTTTAGTTAATTTGCTAGTCATGCCAATTTGGAAAACATTTTGATGCTTCGATCATCATGCCTTTTGATACTATACATATAGTACGTGGTAATATTTGGAAGTCTCGTGTCTGAGTTCAACTAATCTCTATAGAGCTAGTGTTACATTTCATTTCTAAATAATTATAAAACTTATGTCACTATTAGGAATCTTATATATACACAATTTGAAAGAGAAATTGAAAGACAAGTGACAAGTCAAGCTTTTCCCTTCTTCACACTTAAGACTTGCAGTGAACTTAACGGGAGTATATTGTTTTTCCCTGACTCCAGATAAATATCAAAATTTTTAATTATTATTTGGGCTTGTCCAGTGCGGAACTAGGGGTGAGCCGGTGCCGCCGCCCCCGTTCGCCGGCGATCATCAGGTATATGGGCATGACTAAATCTACATTCTCATAAGCATGAATGAGAGTTAGGGTATTGTGGATATAAAAAAACATTGTTGGTGGTATTGAAAGCTTAGTTAACATGTATAACATGTTTAGATGCTTCTAAACTTTCCATCTCAGTTGGCTTATGTCCCTACGGTAGTTTGTCTCCGTTAGTATTCTCAAGGCCAACACAACTGTTTGGCTTCTCGCTAATCCTCTTTAGCCGCACAGGCTAGGGACATTCCGTTCGATCGAATCACAAACCAGATATCCCGTCGCACAACCCCTCTGGCTAGAAACCTTTCATCTTCTTCGGATGATTAAATGACAACCCTCAATTTCTTTTCAATACACTCACACTGCACGCAGCTCGCCCCATCGGCCCCCTTACCTCACCGAGCTCCTATTGCAATTTGAGTAAAATTTTCGCACTTTCTCATGGCCTTCGACTGCAAGGATCCTCTTTCTTTGCTTTCTTCGCCCCTAACTCTGCCGCTTTTCAATTTCCTTTTGATTGTTTGGTGCTCTGTTAATCACTCTCTGTTCTTTTACTTATTTTGTCCTCTGGGCATTTGTAATTACCTTAATACTTTTTCTATTCTACTTGTTTTTTTTTGTAATTTTGCGATGGTGGGAATAGGAACTAGCTAATCCACCAGTTACACCAACGAGAGGCCGTCTTCAAGGTACTAATGACTGTGATTCTCTAGCTTGGATTTAGATCATATATACGCTTCTTTCTAGATTGACTCTTGGGAGTTCTATTTTTTCTACACTTGACTTGATCTTATTGGGAGAATTTTGCCCATATGTGATCCCTCTTTTGGTGGTCACGTATGGAATGGACAGGCCTCTAAAAAACATTCCAGTTATGAAGATTTGGGAGGTGTCTGTTTCATGACAGTGAAAAGAAATTGAGGATTTCGGGTGCTCGGCCTCAGCCTGTTTGTTATGTATTCTTAGAAGCGTCAGAAAAGTATGGAAGTATGGTCATTTATTAGAGTGGTTAGTTCCATTTTTTTCTTCTTGTTTTCTTCTCAGGGTTCTCATTCCCACAATCCCATTTTAGTTTTGTTGTATGTGCTTCAGTTGAAAGAGGGTTTAAGGTTCTTTGAATATATGTAGAATCTTTGTGAGCCTCCTTTGTATGTAGTATGATTTACTTAAATGAGCAAGAATGAATGATATGACTTAGAAGCTGTTCTCTTCGCCTGATCTGAATGTTTCTAATCTGAATTTTTTAAGTTCTAATCTGATCTGATCTGAATTTTTCTGATCTGATCTGATCTGATCTGATCTGAATCTTTCTGATCTTATCTGATCTGATCTGAATCTTTCTGATCTGATCTGAATGTTTCTGATCTGGTCTGATCTGATCTGAATGTTTCTGATCTGATCTGAATCCTTCTGGTCTGATCTGAATCTTTCTGATCTGATCTGATTTGAATATTTCTATGATTATAATTATAATTATAATTATTATAATTGAAATTACAAATATAATTTAAATAAAATTATAACTATAATCGTAACTATAAAAATAATAATAATAATTAAAATTAAATTTAAAATGAAAAAATTTATACTTATTACACTAATTATAAATATAGATATAATTATAATTGTAATTATATTTTTAATTATAATTACTTATATAATTATAATTGTAATTATAATTACAATATTTATATCTATAATTGTAACTATAGTTATCAATATTATTGTAATTACTCCGTAAAATAATTACAATAGTAATAATAATAATAATATTAATAATTATAATTATAAGTATGATTATAATTATTATAATTATAATTAATAATAATTATAATTATATTAACATTAATTATAATATTATAATATAATAATAGTAATATAAATACAATTAATATTATAATAATGATATTATTATATTCATATTATTATTACAATAATATAATAATATGATTATTATTATTATTAGTATTATATTATTATAATATTATATTATAATTATAAATATTTATAGATATAATTATAATAAATACAATTGATTATACTTATAATTTTAAGAATTATAATTGTAATTATAATTATAATTACATATAATTATAATATAATATCATATTAACATTAATCATATTATTATTATTATTATATTGTAATAATAATAATGATAATGATAATGATAATGATAATGATAATGATAATGATAATGATAATGATAATGATAATGATAATGATAATGATAATGATAATGATAATGATAATGATAATGATAATGATAATGATAATGATAATGATAATGATAATGATAATGATAATGATAATGATAATGATAATGATAATGATAATGATAATGATAATGATAATGATAATGATAATGATAATGATAATGATAATGATAATGATAATGATAATGATAATGATAATGATAATGATAATGATAATGATAATGATAATGATAATGATAATGATAATGATAATGATAATAATAATAATAGTCTTCTTAATAATTACATTTATATTACTATTATTATATTAAAATATTATAATATTATTTTATCATATTATTATTAATATTATTAATACTCCGTAATAATTATATTATAATAATAATCATAATTGTAATAACAATATTAATAATAATAATAATTAATATAATAATAAAAGTGATAAATCATGTTTGAACTTTTCTGATCTGATCTGAT